CAGCCTCGCCTCCCCCGCGGCCCCCTCCTCTCCAGCAGCCCCCCTGAAGGAGAGTCGCCCCTGAGCGTGGCCCACACGGAGCAGCGCAGCCAAGGACATGGCAGCCAGGCAGCATAGACAAGACTCTGCCCTCACACCCCATCATGCACAGTTGATGCTGCAGGGTGTGGGCAGAGGGCGTGATCGCCATAGCGCTGCTGGGCTGCATGGGCAATCTGCGGCGGGCCCTGGAGGCGGTGAGTGGCCTTGCGGGCAGGCGGGGCGGGGCAGGTGGGTGGGGCAAGGGCGGGGCAGGGGGTGGAGTGGGGGCGGGGCCAGTTTTTGGGCACTCAGTGTCTAAAAGGTTCGCCATCACTGGGCTAAGCAGAGACTAGAAGTGGCCACAGAGCCCTGGTGTCACTGTCCAAAAGGGACTAGGCAAAGAATTCATGAACAATTACAGCAGCCAAGTTTTCATAAAGCAGTGAAGTTTTGAAAGGCTTCCATTGCTTCCCTTCACACTGGGAAAGAGTAGAAACACTACTTTAGCCAGCACCTCTCACACAAAAGCTTCCCTCCCTATGAATAAAGTGCCCCCTCGTCATGAGTAGCCAGGAAAAGGGAAGCAATGGACAGCAGCTCCTTTAGCATCCATTCTGCAATCCCTTCTGAGAAGATATGCACAGGATTGTGCTGTAACAAGCTACTCCAAGAATTCGTGACATCCAAACTTAAAAGTCAGCTTCTGATATTTTAAAAATAGCAGGCTAAGCTAGTGTGGACGTTGCCTCTTGGGCAGCATGTAGGTTTTTGGTGCACATATGTGCAACCACTTCACAAATGCTTAGAGAGCAGAACACGGCAGAAATAACAAAAGCCCCTGCAAAGCAGTTCCTAGAAATCTTAAGCTTGCAATAGTCAGTTTAAATAAAAGTTATTCTCTAAAATGAAATTGGATTCTTCCATACATACATGCAAATCGTAAGCAGGATGTGTATTGCCTTTTGCTCCCCTGCCTCTTCCCTAACCCAAGAACTGCAATGGCAGTGAGTCCTAAGAACAGGAGCAGACTTCATTTTCATAATAAAGGACACATTTAGTACAGTTTAAGCTTTTCCCATCAGGTCTGCCCTATCCAGCCACACTGCCTGGGGAGATGCAGTAATTATAATCTTCAGATGGCATTTATTGCACTTTCTTTTCATCTCTTCAATGGGAAACATTTATTTACTGCTGCCCAGATATGGTAGCCCTAACCTGAATATCTGAAAAGGTAATGGCTCAAGAAATGGCACCAAGTAATTAGACTCTCTTGATAATGCCAGATTTTTCCTTGCAAGAACAACGCTCAAGTATGAGACCATTGCCTGATAGAATGGGAGACAGAAAAGAATGAAGATTCTTTTCTTGTTTTCAAGACTGATAAATTGAGGGACCTATTGTTTTACGTCATCCATTAATCCACTTTATTTTTTGTTGAAGTTAACTTTTATAAAGTAGAGAAAAAATCTGCTAAAAATTAGAAATGGAGAGAAACAGATAATAAACTTATTTTCTATATATCAGGAATAACACTGATAATTATAATTAGGATAATGCCCAGATTTGATAGAATTGCATAGGCTGTCCATTAAGTAATCTGGAAATCATTTGCAAAGAATATTAAAAGCACAAAATGAAATATTAGAAATTACTGGAAGCTGTTTACCATACACATAAATCCTTCCAAATATTTATTATGCAGGGGAATTGGGAGGAGGGTTATTTTGCCCAAGACTCTTTATTAATAATTTCTCGTTTCAAGTCTTAAAATTATGAAGTCTCTCTGCTGATTTTCCCTACATCATGCAAAACTTTAAAAAGCCTTTATAATCTCTATGTATCTGTAGAACTAAACGCTGGAAGCAACCCATCACATCTCTACTCTGTTTATGAACTTCCCAGAAGGATCCTGTGATATATAAAAATTTAATTTGCGTTCTGTGGATTCCCTAATTTATTTTGGAATGGTGGAAATTCTGACAGTCAGTTGTTTCACATAATGATGAATTAAGTTTTTCTCTCCTCAAGTGAAGACGAGCGGTCTGAAAGTTGACAAGAAGAGTCGCCAAAAACAAGGAGGAGAGGTAACTTGAGAACGCTGACAACGGAAAATCATTTGCCTCCTTTCTTTAACCTGATTCTATTACTACAGCGTTTTAATGATTGGATTCATACACTGCGCTAAACCTAAACATGGCTTGTCTTCGGTTTCGTGCGATATGCGAAGCCCGCCTTTTGCTTAACCAACCACGATTTTAAAAGGCACGCGAACCTTGTCCTCTATTCACACACACGTGTCTGATAGAAACCTGCTGACACGTGAAGCGACAACCCGCTATATAGCTCCAGCTCCTTAAAAATCAGTTCGTTTGTTGTTTTTTTTCCACGGGAGACTCGAGGAGCGGCTCAGCTGCGGAAGCGTAGATGGTTGCAGTCCGGCTTAGAAACTGTAACGGCACAGGAAGGGGTTGGCTCAAGATCGCGGGGCTGTGCGTGGCCAGCAACGGCGGACGAATCCGGAGGAATAGATCCGGGGTGGGGAAAAAGAAAGAACAAAAGGAGAGAGGCGGCCCGCGGTTCCACTCGTGTATTCATTTGTGTGTGTGCTCATTTAGTCCCCCCGAGTTACTTTTAACGTCGAAAGTGCATCGCGAAGCACTTGCAGAATCGCGCCCATTGAGATTTTAGGCCCAGCCAGCCCCGGATGATCTGGGCCGGGAGCACGACCGGAGTGAAAACGGCCGCAGCTTTTGGGATCGGTTCGCTTTCCCCGGACGCTGCAGCCATTAACTCTTGAGCACCCACAGGTAACCATTTGGTAATGATGATGTGGTGGTGATGGTGGTGGTGGGGAAATCCAATAAATATAACTGTATTTTTTTTATTATTTTAGGCGCGGAGAGGAAGGGATGGGAGTGCATTGTTCGTGACGAAGGCTGCATCGAGCCGACTTCGTTTGCAGTCCTCGCACGTTTTCTGAGGGCAGTTTTCATTGAATTTAAGGGAATAAGCAGAACGAGGTGGCAGATAGGTTACCTTGAATGTCAGGGCTCAACCCCTGAATGTGAAAGGGGGGGGGGAGGGAAAAAAAGAACATCTTTCCTCCACCGTTATGTCGTCCATAGATAGGTTGCATGAAATACTTCCAATCTTCATAGATATTTGTTTGGAATCAAAATCTTTTAAAAAATAAGTAGAACGAACATAAATAAGGACCCAAGAATGCAGGATGAGCTCATCATAAAAAATGGATGAATGAAAGTTCTCCTACCATCCTAAGCCAGCCACTTCTTTTCTTCCAGCAGTTGTATAACAAAAGCTTCCAGATTTCCCAGCCAGAATAATCTAGGACAGGGGTAGGCAACCTTGGCTCTTTTATGACTCGTGGACTTCAACTCCCAGAATTCCTGAGCCAGCATGGCTCAGCTTGGAAACCTCTCTCTTTCCGCTCAGCATGGCTGGCTCAGGAATTCTGGGAGTTGAAGTCCAGGAGTCATAAAAGAGCCGAGGTTGTCTACCCCTGGTCTAGGATTATGTTAGCTGTGAGCTACAATAACATTTCTGAAGGACAGCAGATTGAAAAAGGTTAACCCATGTTTATACTTTAAGGGGGGAGGAAGGATTCTCTAACAATGATTCCATTTTATGGGATTGTTTAAATTGCCCCTAAATGGCAATTAGGGAATTCAAATAGGTTGGGCTACACAATTTCCCTTTGATATGACATGCCTCAAGTCAATTTTGTCAGAATTTAGATTTCTTTCTTTCAAGGTCAAGGGACTGAAACACATGAGTTTCCTGCAAATGACCTTGTCAAAACAATGAAGAACTAGATGTCTGAGGGCAGTATTCCTATAGCATGTACCTTAAAATTCAGAACAGACAGCTTTAGAGATTGGGAACTCAAGTCCATCTACCCAGCCAGCTAAGGGGTCAAGGAGGTTTTTGACATCATTTGGAAGTAGAGAACTGAACATTTTTGGACCATAATTTTCTTTATATTTGATCTTTTGAAAGTTTTTAAGAATGAGAATAGGAATCTTTCACCTTCTTATTTCCTAAAAAAATTATTTCCATTTTTAAGTCAAATATCATGTCTTGGAAATCAGGTAATTTTGTGGCCAAATTTCAGCAGCACAATTTCAGTATGCTCTGGGATGACTCTAGCTGTAAATAATAATATAATCATTATAATAATGTAATAATAATATAATAATAATAAATATACACTTATGATCTGTGTGATCACTCTGATCCTTAGAATAATCCTATAAATTCATCAGATATTTCATCAGATATTTCCATATTTACTTATTTAAAAAGAGAAGGTCTTGAGCATACTTAAGGCCAAATACAATACAATCCTGAATATGCTTCCTTAGAAATAAGTCCTGCTATTTTTTATGCAATTTACAACCACATTTAAGTGATTACAAGGCTGTGAGTTTATGGCCTGTTTATATTTGACTCAGGAATTTCCTAGCACATTCTGAAATGATGTGCTTCACAACATTGCCTTAGTTAAATTTTCTTTGATCAGCCATTGGTCACCCTGTAATAGTACAAAAACACACTCTCAAGCTCAAGAAAGTTCAGCCAGCTTTTCTAGTCGATTTGTGATCTTAGGCAAAATATTACCTGTCGGTTGCATAATTTGCTACAAAAGACCCATCTTATAGGGCTGTTGTACAAATTACTGAGATAATAGGTTTTTTTTAAGTACAGTATAATGCTATTGAATCATGGGACGGAGTCATAGAATTTTGCCCATTTTTAAGAAGGAAATAGACTTGAAAGGTGCCAAATCCTGCTTTAGATAGTAAGGGTTGATTGAATAAAAGCTCATAAGGAGTGTGATTTCTTTAATCTGTTTCCTCTCGCTTAATTTTTTTTATCTTTTGTCTGCCTACTCCCATCCCCCACCCCCTTATGCTCCTGATTTCCTAGCTTCAGTTTGCTGATGCTCTGGCTTGTATATTTCAGGAGTCCTTTTGTTCAAACAGGTTAAAGATGATGAGCGAAGAAGATAACCTGGTGAAAGAGGAGGAAATTCTATCAGAGGAGGAGGATAACTTGGTAAAAGAGGAGGAAATGTTCCTAATTGGAGAGGATGAAGAATACCTGGTGAAAGAAGAGAAAATATTTGAGGAGGAGGAAGAGGAGGAGGAGGAAGAAGAGGATGAGGAAAATCTGGTGAAAATAGAGGTGATTCTCCCAGAGGAAGAAGAAAATCTAATAAAAGAGGAGATACTTCTTCCAGAAGAAACTTCCCTGTTGGAAGAGTATGAAATCAATGTTTTTCAAATCCAAGGGGATGAAATACCCTGTGACAGTGAACTTGGTCCCGAGATCCCAGGTTATATTCCAAGAAAGAGACATTGTAAAACCGTGCCACGGGCAGGAGCTGTCGGGGAACCCAACCAAGCCACAGCCCGGAAGGGTGGAAGAATCTATAAGTGCCCCGACTGTGGAAAAATCTTTAAGCGGTGTTCGCCTCTTATCAGACACCGAAGAACCCACACTGGAGAAAAACCTTACGTTTGCCGTGAATGCTTGAAACGTTTCAGTGACAGCTCAGCCCTTGTGAAGCACCAAAGAATTCATGCAGGAGAGAAACCTTACACGTGTCCCGAGTGTGGAAAGAGCTTTTCCCAGAGCTCAACCCTGATTGCACATCAGAGAATACACACTGGAGAGAAACCGTATAAATGCCCTGACTGTGGGAAGAGTTTTAGTGTGAGCTCTAACCTTGTTGCTCATCAAAGAATCCACACAGGAGAAAAGCCTTTTGGCTGTCCTGTCTGTTTAAAAGGTTTCCTGGTCAGCTCCCACCTTATCAGACACTTGAGAATACACACTGCAGAGAAACCTTATATTTGCAGAGAATGTGGCGAATGCTTTACCCAAAGCTCTCATCTTGTTGTTCATAAGAGGATCCACACAGGAGAAAAACCCTATCTGTGTTCTGAGTGTGGGAAAAATTACCGCGGGATCTCCGATCTGATCCAGCATCAAAGGATTCACACAGGAGAGAAGCCCTACAAATGCTCCGAGTGCGGCAAATGCTTCAGCCAAAGCTCATGTCTCAAGAAGCACCAGCGAATCCACACGGGCGAGAAACCTTACATGTGCCTCAGGTGTGGGAAGAGATTTAACCGGAATTCACATCTGACTAGGCATCAAAAAACCCACGTCGGGTAATTTCTAAAGAAGAATTACCTGCAAGTTCCTCTCTTATTACAGCCCCTAAAGAATTTAGCGATAGATGTCTCAAACAGTGATCTGTTCCTCATCTCCTGAAGGATCATTTGTCCAAATCCCTTGAACTTAACCTGCAAGAGTATAAAAAGATTTGGATATGTTGCCAGGATGCCTTTGCAATGTTTTCTTCTCTGGCACTAGTTAAGATCCTCTTTCTAGATTCCCTCCTTTCCATCCAAGACTCTAATACCGGTAGGATCTTAGAATCTTCCCTGGATAATTCATATCTTTCCTTGTTATGATTTTGAAAATGACATCCCACTTCAAACACCTTCAGGCATATCAGCCCTTACTTCTTCCTGGATTCTGAGAATATCTTAACCTTCTAGTATCCCTCAGGTTTCCACAGTGAAAGAATTGGAAGCTGTGAAAAGTTGTGCTGATAGCAGTGAAGGGGAAACAATTAACACTCGTATCAAAACTCTGTGAAGACAGCAACCTCTCTTATTTGTAATGCATATAAAATATATATTGCCACATGAAATTGGCATACATCCTCCAGTGGACTGCTTCGTGGTTTCATGCTGCCACTATTGAAAGCCAATGGAAATTTGCATGTGAGAAAAACCTGCTTTAATTTGCCCATTTGGGGGTGTCATATGGCAGAGAAGCCATCAGCATTTAGTCTACTTCCTTGATCCACCTTTATTTTTTTAACAGCAGACTATGGAAACTTCACGGTTTGGGATCTGAGTTATAAACTTGATCACCCTGTGCTTGGTGACTCTTCATTGTGGCTGTTCCCAAAGCTGGCGGGTGGGTGGCTGGGTGGGTGGGGGGAAGTTATAGAATACTTGCTGAGAGCACATTCTTGTATGCAGCAGGTCCTGGATTTAATCCTTTGCTTTTTCAGCTTAAAACATCTTGGGTAACATGAGTGAGAAAGACGGTTGCTATAGAGCAGTACTGCTAATCGGAATAAAAGTGCTGGGTGAAACAGCTGAACTGATATAAGCTCCAGTTCTTGGCACCTGTCTCCACGGATGTCACGTTACGCCCTCAGAAGCACAAAAGGCAGATGGTCCTCCTTGATATTCGTGAAGAGCAATCTGGCATCTTATGTAGCCTGGTCACTGCCATGCATTTGTAGGCTTGTATGACAATATCAGAGTTTTAAATTATCAGTGCAATTATTTTTCTATTCCTTTTTTTTTTTTTTTACTTTTTAGTGGAATTTATTGAACATTTTGGAGTAGATTTCTCTGTTTCTCAAGTAACAATAGGACAGTGGCTAGAAGACTGAACTATGCATCGGAAAGGCTCCAGTTTCAGTCTCGCCACTGCTTGGTGGCCTTTGGCAAGTATCCTCTTGGTATAAGTCAGCCCTGTGAAATTTGCAATATTGGGGATTATAGCCCTTATTTGTTTATAAAGTTGTGGCAAGGGTTATACAACTTGAACAGTTTAAATGTGCTCCATAAGCAAACTATTAACTGCGTTTCTCCTTGGGTTTGGGATAATTTTCCATACCCCTTAATGGGAAAATGCAAGGGACTTCTTCTAATACAGGTAGCCCTTGAGGTATGACAGGTCGACCATTTGAAGTTACAGCAGACATCCCCCCCCAAAAAAAGTTACATACAGCCTCGTTCCAAAGTTACGGTGCCTGGAGTGCCCCCACAGACTGACCAACCAGAGATGTTGCATCATGTCCACCCACCTATTTCTTCCCCCCCCCCATCCTGCCCTGCCAGGTCCCCTCAGGTGGTGGGCCTGCTTTGCCATCTTTCCAATAAATTCAGAAGTCAGGATGACAAGGTGGGGAAGGAGGACAGGCGCTCTGTTGCTGGGCCTTTGCTAGGCCATGAGCACAATTGAGGAAAAGAAATCCTGACAAGTTTTCATTTTATCACTGGTCTCAGCTCCCCCAGCGTTCGCTACACTAGTTTTATGCTAGTGCAGCTAATGCTGGGGGAAGCTAACAATAAAAGGAAAGCTGGCAGAATTTCTTCTTGATTTTGCCACGTGGATCAGGAACGGATTCGGCCTGTCCTCCTTCCCTACCTTGACCTTAGCTCTGAAGATCTTTGAAAGGCAAGTGTGCAGTTGTGATGGGCTGAGATGAGGGGGGGGACCCAAAGGGTGGAAAGTGGAGCATGGGGTATCTCGGGGTAGAGAGAGCCCTTGGGAGGTCCAATGCAGGTGGGGTTTTGCCTGCATTAGGCCTCCCAAAATCTCCCCCACTTCTGAGACACCCCACTTAATGACCTGTGCGTTCATTTAATGAATGTATTGGGGAAAGCAGAGATAGGGGGGGCCGTTAATGAGGCCGTTTATTTAAGAGATCATATTGACTTCTGACAGTGATGGGCAAGCTCCATTACGGTTGTAACTCAAGGACTACCTGTATTTCTTTGTGAGTATTGCCCTATTTAGAAAAGTCTTTACACAAAGATGCCCCTAGATGATTAGAACCTGCATAAGGAAGGCAGCTATCCACATACTGGAGGGATAACATTAGCAGCAGAAAATTTTCGGTTTTCAGTTATTTTCCTGAAAGAAACTTATTAGAATAAGAGAGGGCTTCCCGCTCTGGAAATCTTCCTTGGCACTGACAGAACTATGGTAATAGGGGAGTGAGAAGCCAGGAAAGGGGATGGCCGTAATAGGCTTGTCACCAGTCTCCTCTTTACGTGAGGAAAATCACAGGGAAGGAGTATACAGAATAGTATACAAGCCTGTTATGAACAGGAGCAAGAGAAGTTTTTGCCTTCCCTTGGGGCAACTGAAAGCTGACCCTAGCAGATGGAAGACTCATTTTCTGAGAAACAAAGAGGAAAAAAAAAGCGATGCCTCATTTTAGATGGCTGCAGAATACCTAAAGTAGTATTTGAATGTTTCTCTCCTTTGCCCTTTAAAGCCCTGCTCCATTTTATATCAGAATGAGCTCCGTCCCATTATGGTTCAGATATATTCTTCTGCTTGTACTTTGCAAAAGAGTACCGGATATCATTTCTGGTATTGAGAAGTGTGTTGTGGCTTTTGTTTTTCTTGGTTCTTGAACATCAAAAAAGATGACGTGTTAACACTCCTAAAATATGTACGTGCCATATGCTTACCAGTGATTTGTACCATGCAGTGCATGCCCATCCGTGCTTTTTCAGAAGTAAGTTCAGTATATTTGCAGAGACTTTGTCCAAGATATGTATATAAAGGAAGGCAGGCGTACAGCATTTCAAACACAAGAAATAGAATGGTTTTAGATTTTAAAAAATAGTTGAGGCTCCCCAATCCTGTATTTCTATTTCTGATGTATTGCAGCAAATGTTCCATAGTATAGTTGATTTTGTTTTAAATTGAAAGGGGCAAATCATTTTAGTCTTGTTTGCAATACGTTAATTAGATTGATGTTGATGAGGAAAGGAAAATTGGAGCGTGCATCATATAATAGTGACATAAAATAATATGTATTTAATCCCTTGAGTAAATTGTACCAGGACATGGTGAATTGTATCAAATATATGATGTATGGGTCAGAATTCAAACCATCTTCCATTGGTCTTGTATTTCCTGCAACACAATCTTGAATCTCATTCTTTGGATACACCAGTTCCCGACTTTTTCCAAAACAAAGTATGCTTTTAATGATTAATTCAAGCACTAGTTAGGAGAATTCTGTAAAAGCATCATAAGGTGGATTTTGTACTTAATAATCATTCAAAGTACTTGAAATAACTAGTCAAGCACAGTGTTAGAAAAGTTCACTTAATTTACTGTATTATAATCTATTTTTGCATTGTTTGCCACTTCTACAGAATAACGAAGGAGTTCAAAGGGAATGAAAATTTAAATGGAGGCCCATATGGTAAATGTATATAGCAAATATTATCATTTTTGTACTACATAAGGAAGGTTATCACACTGTGCTATACTTTATCCTGGTTTAAAGCTGAATACAGAAATCAAGCTACTGTTTAAAATTCACACATGCACACTGCTTTAATTCTGATAAAAATATCTATGGAGATTCAGGTCATGGCTGTCCCAAAGGTGCTTTTTCAAAAGGCAACTGGACTTTCTTTGTTTTTCCCTGAAGACGTTTCGCTTCTCATCCAAGAAGCATCTTCAGTTCTGACTGAATGGTGGAGAATGGAAGGATTTATATTCTTTGCAGTCATCTGGTGGTTAGCACTCTTTCCGAGAGTTGTTGAGGCCACTTGGGAGGTTTATCTATTCAGGGTCACCTGAATAGGGCAAATGGGTGTGGAACCTTCTTGGAACTGGTATCATTTAATTCTGATACCAGTTTTGACTACAAATATCAAAGGCAGGATATTGCATTTTTTCCCTTCCTCTTTTGAAAATATACAGAGGATGGAATACTCAGCATTAAAATTGGACGTACAGTATAGTATACTGAATGGCTGGGTCCGCACAACATTGTTAGATTAGGGCAGTGATGGCGAACCTTTTAGAGACCGAGTGCCCAAACTGCAGCCCCAAACCCACTTATGTATTGTCGGGTGCCGGGTGGGCGTGGCCCATTGGGTAGATGTGGCCAATTGGGTGGGCATGGTCCATTGGATGGGCGTGGCTGCCGTGGTAACGGCAGACTGGGTGGGACTAAAAAGTTCAATTCCAACATTGTGAGATTTTTTTTTTCCCCTGCAAGAAGTTGAAATTGATTGAACCTTTTTTTTTTTTTTTTGGCACACGGTGGCGGAGGCCCAAAGTGAAAAGGTTTTATAAAACCCAGCTGAAAGCCTAGGCCTGGGGCGACGGTGAGCGTGCCCACAGAGAGGGCTCTGGCACGCATGCCATATGTTCGCCACCACGGGACTAGGATATAATAGTTGAGGGGAATTTATGATTCAGCCTCTTGTAGAAATCCAGACACAGTCTTAACTTCCTATGAACTACACTACCACTTTAAACAATATGTGATTTTTTTTTAAACTTGTTGGGCATTGATTGTTATGTGAACACAGGAAATGTATTTTTAATTCAGTTTTAAAGTACTGCATTGAGCCATTGTATATACCAGA